GGTTCTACCATAAAAAAAATATTTACACTAGTTTCTTTTCTAAATTTTGGTGTTGCAATTAATCTGAAAAGGAGGGTAATTTTTATTCGACTTGTGGTTCTCATCATGCAGGATACTGTCTTGCATTTTCATTTCCACATGCCTGCACACAAGCGAAGCTTAGTGACGGCCATAGTGGGTCATGTCCCCCACCTAAGCTAGATCAATTCTTAGGGCTTGTTTGGTAGACTCCACAAAAAAAAAAGTAAATTTGGATGGAGCAGCTTCTTCGTGGATCTAAAATTCACCAAAGTGTTTGGTACAGCTTCACTAACGTCTATGTCACTTCCACCTAGACCCCACGCATCAAGGGGGGCTTAATTCAAAAATGCAAAAAAAAACATCTTCTTCCTCCGACATTTCATGCGCAGGAACTACGCGAGCTTGCGGCCACAGCGTAGGGCGCGGCCCTGTCTGGGCACATCCACGGCAGGCACGCGGCCCTGGAGCTCACTGCCATGGCCATGGCCATGGCGAGCACGTGGCCCGGGAGCTCGCGGCCACGGCCATGGAGGGCACGTGGCCCGCGCGGGCACGGCGAGGAGCATGAGCCAGCACGGCTGGCGCGCGCGTGGTGCATGTGTTGGAGGCGCCTTGCGCGGCGGCCGAGGGAGGGCGGTGCGGCGGTCAGGTGCGGGCGCGTAGACGAGTCGCCACGGAGAAGAAGGGGGAAAGAACGAACTGTTTTTTCCACTAATCAGTGGCATAGTGGGTAATTTTTCCCAGCTCCACCAAACTTTGATTTGGTGGAGCACCTCCTGAGCCGCTCCACCAATTTGGTGATTCTGGAGCCAGGTCCACCCTTTTGGTGGATTAGATCCACGGTAAAGTTGGTGGAGCTAGAACCGTTTGGCAAAAAAAATGAATATGGATTTGGTTCTGGTGAATCTGGAGCCGGTGAATCTCTACTAAAGCCCAATGAAGGGCTTAGTTTTCTACTTTTGTTGCTAATAAGATATTAATATACCCTTCTCTTTTTGCATTTTACATCATTATATTGGCCTCCTCTGCATTCATGGCCAAGCTCCCCCTGGTTTCCGTTCTGCCCGAGCCCGATGGTATGGTGTAGCTTCAGCAATAATCCGGTCGCTGCTTCTTCAAAAGCTTTCTCTTAAAATAAGTTTTGTCGGTGCCATATTGTTAATCTGTTATGGGTCAGGATGTATGCCCTCTGTTCTGAAAAAAAAACAATTTTAGATTTAAAATAATCCATTTTTTAAGTTTAATAAAGTTTATAAAAAATAATATCAACATCTATATCTCAAATATGTCTACTATAAAATATATTCCATGGTTAATGTAATTATGTTTGTTTGGTATATAAATATTAATATTTACATATTTGGTCCATCTTAAGATAAAGTTGACTAAAAACAAAACTGCACTCTTTAGGAACCGGAAGTGTTTTTGTCATGTTGACACTTGACAAGACAACATCAGTTTTTGTTTGGTCAGGCTCCCGTACAGTACAGACCTTCCCCTAATCCGCCCTAAACAAAAACAAAGCTGCTTGTCTTCAGTTCTGGCCTCATGGGACGCTATGCATATCTGACTGGAGTGCACTACTGGCGATGGCGGTGTGCATTTGCGTAACCCTACCTATATTCCCTGTAATGAATTCTCCGCGTGTCGCCGTGGAAATTTTTTTGCTAAGAGTTTAGATGACCATTTGATGAATTTATGGTGGCACAAATGGAGAATCAGCCGTGTGATCAGTAACGCAACATCCCCTGTTTGAATTGGGGGCAGGGGTGACTGCCCTGTTGCCGTTTCATCCTCTTTTTCCTCTCATCTTAAGTACAGCTGTAGAATCTGTTCGGATACAGACACACACCATCACACACACGGTATATGAACAAACCTACAATTATACCTAGACAATGAACGTAGCTGATAGGTACTCGAAGATCACCAGACGCCGAGCGTGGCGGGCACGTCACTTGATCATTGTGGCACATCTGCGCAAGCTCCCTGTTTATATTTATGAAAAGATCTCATACAGTATCTGATTTAAAATTAACCAAATTAACGACCGTCAAATGTCATTAAATTCTGTTTATATTTGTGAAAAGATCTCGTACAGTATCTGATTTAAAATATTGGAAAGAATAGGGCCTTGTTTAGATTGAAAAAAATTTCAACCCGATAAATAGTAGTACTTTCGTCTTATTTGATAAATATTGTCTAATCGTGGACCAACTAAGCTCAAAAGATTCATCTCGTGATTTTCAACTAAACTGTATAATTAGTTATTTTTTTTATCTATATTTAATGCTTTATGTAAACAACTAAAAATTAATGTAATGGAAAGAGAGTGAAAAAACTTAGAATTTTGAGGCATAGTATAGTAAAAGGATATACACATGCGAGTGGACACGCCCATCCATCTTAATCCTATTTCAGAGGTAGTTTTGCCGGGCTTCCCCCCTCCTCGGCCATCGTCAATTTCGGACGGTTCACCGGGCCCCCCCCGCCTCTCTCCCTTTCCAAGGGCCGCCGCGTCCGCTCCGTCCCCCACCTCGCAGTGCCTCCCCCACCGCCCTCGGCGCCGGCCGGCCACACCCCGATCCAGATCCAGGTATGCATCTTCTTTCCTTCAGCCGCAACCGCGTCTCTTTCCTCGATTCCTTCCCCGTCGGCAGGCGTCCGCACCCCCTCCCTACGCTGGACGCCTCTGGCATGGAGTGGAGATCCGAACGGGGTTGTATGTTCCCCTTCCAGTCATCTTCGCCGGTTCGGACAGGGATAGGATGGCCTTGCTTGTTCGTTTCGTTTCGGCCTGCGGGATTCTCCCCGTTCTTTGATGTGAGAGCGCTGGAATCCAAACCTCCGCTTACATTTCCAGTCAGTCGGTTTTTATTTTAACGATTTCTTTCTAGGATTTTGTGAGCGATAGCAGTAGGAGTTGGGAGGAACCGGGGAAGGAGAAGGCAGACGTGGGGACGAAGAAGGGGCAGGAGATGGGCGCGGAGGAGTTCTTACTTCAGGAATGGAGTTTAATGTTTACAATTGCCTGTCCGATCTCTTCCTCTCGCCGATCTCATATACTCATTACAGAGGCTCTGCCCCTTTCACGCGTGCAAGCGTTCAAGCCCACTGCTCGCCATAGACTCGTGGGTTCGGCTTCTTGGGCCTTCGTCCTCTGGGCCGGTCCCTGGATACTCCATCTTCCTCCTGGGCTGGGTCATGACGGTGGCTGACATCCCCTCCCCCTTGGGACACTGCTTGCCCCCAAGCAGTGGCTCGAGGAAACTCCTGGCGAACAGCTTCAAAGTCCTCCCATGTCGCCAAAGCCGACGGCAGGTTGTTCCACTTCACAAGCACCTGAGGGATAGTAGAAGTACCACGGGCCACCATGCGAATCTGTAGAATTTGTTCTGGGGCCAAATGGATGGCAAAGTCAGAAGGCAGGGTTGGGATTACCTGATGAGCGGCACCAACTGCTTTCTTCAGTTGTGAAACATGAAAAACCAGATGATGGCAGAGTGAGCAGGTAATTCAAGCTTGTAGGCCACTTAACCGACACGAGCCAGGATACGGAAGGGGCCGAAGAAGCGAAAAGCGAGTTTGTGATGGGAGCGAGGTGCCAGGGAAGTTTGCACATACGGCTGCAGTTTGAGGTAAACGAAGTCACCAACTGCAAAGCTGCGCTCCGACCTATGTTGATCAGATTGTTTCTTCATCCGATGTTTTGCCCGGTTGAGGTGATGTTGGAGGAGCCGGTCCATCCACTGACGGTCGGAAGCCCAGATGGTCACCTCCGGATGAGAAACAATAGAAGGGTCAACAGCCAGTAGACGTGGAGGATATCCATATAACGCCTCAAAGGGTGAACGATCGATGTCCGAATGGAAGCATGTATTGTACCAGAATTCTGCAGATGGCAACCACTGACTCCATTTGTTGGGGCATGCATGGACATAGCACCGCAAATAGGTCTCTAGGCACTAGTTAAGCCGCTCCGTCTGACCATCGGATTGGGGGTGATAGGCGGTGCTTCGGTAGAGTGACACATCAGCCATCTTGAAAAGCTCAGACCAAAAGTGACTGGTGTAACTTCCCACCTCTCCGAGGCCAGGCCCGCTTACATCTGATAGCTTTCCTAGGACATAGACTGCCCTCACAGACCATCACTAGTCTTTTCTGCGCACTTTGTCCTCACTCATGCGCCCCCGGGAAGAACTTCCCGGTCGGTCACCCATCGCTCCAGGCCAAGCACGCTTAACCTCGGAGTTATTTGCAGATGGGCTTCCGGAAAAGAAGTTGCAACTTATTGGTATGAGTATCATATTAATCCTGTTAAGCCATGGGCCGGGATGTTACATCCTCACCCCCTTAAGAGATCGACGTCCTCGTCGATCAATCCCAAGCCAGGAGCGTCCTCTCTTGGCCACGTCCGGTGTGTCAGAGCGCCAGCGCATGTGCCATCTTTGTGTGACCACGCCGGATCCACACCGACCATGCGCGCACATGCTGCGCATGAATCATGCGACACACGCTACTTGAAAACCGCGAGAGTCGGCTCGATACCATTCTCAGAACGTCCCACCTCTCGGAGGCCGGGCCCGCTTACATCGATAGCTTTCCTAGGACATAGATCGCCTTTACAGGACCAACACTAGTCTTTTTCTCAAGCACTTTGTCCTCACTCATGCGCCCCGGAAGAACTTCCCGGTCGGTCACCCATCGCTCCAGGCCAAGCACGCTTAACCTCGGAGTTATTTGCAGATGGGCTTCCGGAAAAGAAGTTACAACTTATTGGTATGAGTATCATATTAATCCTGTTAAGCCATGGGCCGGGATGTTACAACTGGTAAATATGTGGTCACGATCAGAAATAATAGAGCTCGGAAGGCCATGTAAGCGATAAACATTATGAAAGAATGACTTGGCAACGCTGGCAGCAGTAAAAGGGTGACGGAGGGGAATGAAATGTCCATACTTGATCAGCAGATCAACTACTACCAGTACACAGTTGAATGTATTAGACAATGGAAGTCCCTTGATGAAATCCACTTGCCATGCCGAATCAGGAACCGGCAAGTGCTGCAATAGGCCTGGAGATTTGGATCGATCATACTTGGATTGCTGACATCTGACCTGAGATTGCACAAACTCCTTGATGCGCAGTTTTCATACCCTTGAGCAAAACATTGCTTCAGCCGCATATAGGTCACTGGTATTCCAGAATGTCCGCCCCACAAGCTGGAGTGAAATTGGGCAATAAGCTGCTGGTGAAGTGCCGGGTCATCTCCAATCTTGACACGGCCATTATAATGGAGTAAGTCGGACTGTAGGGAATAATGAGGTATGGCCTCTGAATCAACAGCCAATTTGGTCAACAAAGTAGTAGCAAAAGTGTCCTCGCGATAACTAGCAATCATCGCAGATACCCAGGAGGGTACCAGAGAAGTTACTGCCGCACAAACAACTGGAGGTGAGGGGTGGCGAGACAATGCATCCGCTGCTCTGTTATCAGAACCTGAGCGATACACAATACGGTATTGTAAACCCAACAATTTGGAGAAAACCCGTTGCTGCCAATGAGTATGCAGTCTTTGATCAGTGAGCTGTGTCAGGCTTTTCTGATCGGTGAGGAGCACAAACTCCTGAAACTGCAAGTAAGGACGCCACAGTTGCACAGCAAACAGAATCGCCATGAATTCTTTTTCATATGTTGATAAACCACGTTTCTTGGCTCCCAACGCTTTACTGAAGAACGCCAGGGGGTGACCGTCTTGCATGAGGACCGCACCGACACCCGACTTAGATGCATCAGTTTCAATTGAGAAAGGCTTGGCAAAATTTGGAAGAGCCAGCACCGGAGCTTGACAGAGGGCAGCTTTCAATGTCTGAAAAGCATAGTAATGAACAGGGCATGCTTCTTCAAAAGATTTGTCAGTGGCTTTGAAATGATTCCAAAGTGGCGAACAAAACGCCGATAATAACCGGCGAGCCCCAGAAAGGAACGAAGTTCTTTGACTGAGCTCGGAGTAGGCCAAGAGGCAATAGACTTCAGCTTGGAAGGATCAGTACCCACGCCAGCCTGACTAATAACATGGCCGAGATAAGAAATCTTGGTTTGGGCGAAGGAGCACTTTGACATTTTCAGCTTCCACTGATCCTTAGACAATAACTCAAACACAGCTCGTAAATGCATGAGGTGTTCCTCCCATGTTCGGCTATAGATCAGGATATCGTCAAAGAAGACCAACACGAACTTCCGAAGGCAGGGAGCAAGAGTTGTATTCATAGCATCCTGGAAGGTGCCCGGGGCTCTGGTGAGGCCGAAGGACATAACCCGAAACTCAAATTGCCCGAAGTGGGTTTGGAAGGCGGTTTTGAATTCCTTGCCGGATTTCATGCGGATTTGGTGAAAGCCGGACTGTAAATCCAAGGTTGTGAAATAAGCTGCCCCGGACAGCTCATCCAGCAACTCTTCGATGATAGGAACTGGATATTTGCTCTTAACTGTGATGGCATTCAGTTGACGGTAATCGACGCAAAACCTCCAGCTCTGATCTTTTTTCTTCACCAATAGAACCAGAGAGGCAAACACACTTGTACTCTTCTGAATGATGCCCTACTGAAGCATATCATTGACTTGCCGTTCGATTTCTGTTTTTAGAAGAGGTGCATAGCGGTAAGGCCGTACGAAGACCGGTTGAGCCCCTGACATCAAGGGAATGGAGTGATCACAATGCTTACCGGAGGCAACCTCAAAATCGACTCAAATAGATGGGCATATTCATCGATCAAAGCCGAAGCAAATGGGTTCGTAGAAGAGATCGATTGTGAAGACTCGTGAAGTCATACCAGCAGTAGTTGAATTACGGAACCCACCGCGGAGTTTACATGTTGTCCCCAATCAACATAGCAGTAGCACCTTCGTAAGGAATGGAGATCCATTTTTTAGCCCAGTGTACTTGCATCAAGCTAAACCTTGCCAGCCAATCTAGACCAAGGATCATATCATATGATGAGAGACGCAACAACTTGAGATCAGTTGAAAAGGAACACCCCTGCACAAACCAACGAGCACCGGGCAAAAATGATGTGCATTGTAATATGGCACCATTAGCCACTTGTACTTGAACTGGGGACTGAAGTTCCTTGATACCCGAGAGCGACTGAGCCAATGCAGAATTCAAGAAAGTATGAGAGGAACTGGAATCCACCAATATAGACAGAGGATGACCTTGGATATCTCCAGACAGGCTAAATGTCTTAGGGGAAGCTGAGCCCACTGCCGCAGCCACCGAGAGATGCATCATAATTTGAGTTTCAGGCGATGAATCATCGTAACACTTTACCAGCATCGGACTTCGAAATATATCCATCAATTCTCGCACCAAGTGTAATCGCACCATTTCGAACATTTGTGTTCACGGCTCCATTTTGCGCCACACACGGATGCACACAGATCTGGCGCGGCGAGAGGCCTGTAAGGCTTTGAACTTGTCTTCAACCGAGGTATGAAGAGCATTGGGCGGTCACATCTCTCACCATCAGCAAGCTTCGGTGGCGGTGGAGGCAGAGCCATGGCACTAGGCCATGCCGGCTTATAAGCAGGTGATGTATCAAAACGCCGAGTAGGCCGCTTGTTGAGTCCCAGCGCCTCTTCCTGTAATTGAGCAATCCAAAGTGGATGGACGTTGAACAAGAACAGCTTTGATTTCATCACGCAAGCCATCAATAAAACGCTGAGTACAATAGAGTGGGTCTGGGTGTTTGGTATAGGCTTTCAGGTCATCTACGAGAGCAACAAACTGATCTATATATTCATTGACAGGGCCGGTTTGCCGAATCTGAAATAAGCGACGCAGCAGCAGGTCGTGCTCATCCCTGGCAAAGCGCAACAGCAACTGTGAACAGAATTCGGACCAAGTGATGGCCTCAAGCCGATCCTCAACTGAAGAGAGCCAACGTTTGGCTGCACCATGAAAGTGCATAGTGGCAGCCTGCACCCAAACCACGGACTCAACACAATAGAGTTCAAAGTAGTGAACGGCTTGCTTGATCCACAACTTAGGATGATCCCCCTCAAACCTAGGGAAATCAAACTTGGGAAGCTTGCCGGTAAGGCCGCCCCCAGAACCCCCTGATAGCTGGACTCGTAATAACCTCCTGGGTGTGGCTGTGGTGGACGTGGTGGTGGTGGGCGTGGAGGAGGACTTGGTAACGGATGCGGGGAAAGAGGATGGCAAGGAAACGTACCCTTGCCGGGAGGTGGAATCAAAGTGGTAACCACTCCGAATGCACCTTCCCGGTTCACGATTTCGACGGTGCTGTTGGGCGAGGCTCATGCAGATCCCGCAGATGGGCACGGGGCAGCCTGAAAGCCGCCGAAGCCGGTGGACTTGAAGTTCGGAGTGATGACAGGCTTGGCGTCGTGGATCGACGCGCATGGCGACATGGGAGCCGACGCGGACTTGGTGGCGGGCGCGGTCGCGAACACCCCGGGAGTCACTGACGGGCCGTCCACCATCGAGCGTTCCATGTACTTGGAGATCTTCCCCACTTCAAGCTTCAATGTTGCGAGCTTGTTGACCTCGATGCGAAGGTCGTCGATGACGCCGTCGACCCCTGGGCGCCATTCGTCGAACACCTTGGCTGCAGACTCCAAGGCATCCAGACGGGTGGAAGACGACGCAGTGGTAGAATCGAGCTTCCGCTCTAGGCCATCGAATCGCTTCTCTTGGGCGGCAAAGCGCTTATCGAGCTCGGCCAATGCCGCCTTCTTGTCGGGACCCATGACACCACAGGTGCGTTGAAGACGGGTGTAGTGCTCGTGGGTGGAAAGGAAGGCAGGATCCAGATCGGCGGCGCACGCCACAAATTGCGACTCCGGGATTGGAATGACGGAATCCCCAAATTGAACTGCAGCTCACAGCTCAGATTCGGGGTTAGACCAACCAAATCCAGTGGAGTTCGAGCAATCGATGGATAAGGTGCTCGAGACGATCGATCGGTGCCGAGGACCGGTGTCTCTGATACCACTTGTGAGCGATAGCAGTAGGAGTTGGGAGGAGCCGGGGAAGGAGAAGGCAGACGTGGGGAGGAAGAAGGGGCAGGAGATGAGCGCGGAGGAGTTCTTACTTCAGGAATGGAGTTTAATGTTTTCAATTGCCTGTCCGATCTCTTCCTCTCGCCGATCTCATATACTCATTACAGAGGCTCTGCCCCTTTCACGCGTGCAAGCGTTCAAGCCCACTGCTCGCCATAGACTCGTGGGTTCGGCTTCTTGGGCCTTTGTCCTCTGGGCTGGTCCCTGGATACTCCATCTTCCTCCTGGGCTGGGTCATGACGGTGGCTGACAGATTTGCCCCGTTGCGTTCCTCCAATGTACCTCAGTCGTTATTAATGCTTCCGTGGTTAAATGTTTTCTTCAAACTAAATCAGAATTATCAATTTGGGTCAATGTGAATCGGAATAGATGGTGCGTAATACCATGTGTTCTCAGTATAGTTGCCAATTTATTCTGCTTCTGGCCTGGATTTTTGATCCATTAGGGGGAAAAGAACTGATTTAGATGTTTTTGTTTCAGCCTTCAACACGCAGAAAAAAAAATCTGGGATTCCATTGCGATAGGGACCACGATAGTGCCGCATTAAGGAGTCGTTTTCGCTATGTATTGCACAGTGTCGTTCTGCACTTCCACTTCAGCAATCCCACTCTCAACAAAGACTGTGCTACCTGAACTTTAGTTGACTTTTTTTTATCCCCACAATTCAAAAGCTCCGGGCAAGGATATAGATAGTAGCGCATTTTAATCCTCTAATTTCTTTCAGGATAGTAGCTGTGGTAATTTTTTTTAATATATGTTTTTGGCCTTTCATGCGGTCATGGATAAACATGTGAGCTTTAGTTTAGTGCTCACTGCCCAGTTACCTTATATACAATGGACTTTTGGCCCTCACTTGTAAAAAAGTGATATTGGGCTCCAGATTTATTTTGGTATCACGTATGTTTTCCGATTTATTGGAATTCAGAGAGGTGGGGAACATGCACTATCTCTTGTAGTTTCTTTACTTAATGAAATAGCTTTCTCCTATGTGACAATTAAACCATGCTGCTTGTGCCAGGAAACTGTATGCTTGCACATGCTTTTAGTGCTGCCTTTTGTGATGAACTGATGTTGCACCCAGTGGTTTACTAGAATTTCAATGTGTACAGAGTTCTAGTAATAGATCCTGGTTCGTTTTGATGTTATTAACTTATTATGCCTAGGAGCCTTGGATTGTCATGTGGCACAATAGGTGATGATGATTCCAGAAATGTTGCTTGTCCATTAATGTTCAGACTCTCTTTAACTTTGATTTTTTTTATGACTGATGTGATACAGTAGGTTATAATTCTTTTCCAGAAATGATGATTATCCATTAAGGTTCTGCTGGCAGTTTTGACAGTGGAAAGATTTTCTTTTTCTGGTTTTTCATGGACTGGAAAGTCCAGCGAAATCAGGCATTTCAAACAGCAATCATTATTTGAAATTCCAGTTCCATTGTGTTTTCTGTTTACTCAAACATCGATGAGTTGGAGTAACCTGAATCATTCTTATCCCTTTCTGTTCTGTCCATCACAAAATAGATCCTCTCCTTCCCTAAAGAAATGTACTGAAACTTTCTTAGCCAGATGTTTTTATCTGTGTGTTCTATAGCTCCTTAGATTTTTTTTTCTCTTAATATATTATTCTGATTTGAATTTAAGAATGGGGAGAAAATTGTGAATTGTGAAAATAAACTATGCAACATACACTGAAATATATTTGAATCAGAGAGTGACATGTTTCCCCTTTCAAAAATGGATATAGAACTACCCATATTATCAAAGAAGACAGTGCTTGTTTAGTAAAATTGTAAATGATTATCTACTATGTGGCATGATTCGGGTTCTAGATATGTGCATATCATATTTCCAAAATGGAGCTGTATAGCCAGATGTGAAACATAGTTTATTTGTTTGCTCTGTTTACTGTCTGTTGAGTTCTAGTCGAGTCACCAAAGTCTCACAGCATATTAGCATGTTCGTGATTGATTTGAGCTACTGATGGTTTATTCACTTGAGCAATCTTTCTTGAGTGTAGAGCTTGAAAATACTTAGCTCATTATTCTTGTCTCTTTTGGACAGGATTCAAACAAACCAGTACATTACCACCATGGTTCTTGATTCATTATCATCTCCTCACAGGAGGTCCCAAAACACATTCTTCGTATCATCTGCAAAAAAGCCTCAGTCATCTCGTGATGACAGTTGGTCTGCACTGGTTGAGCGGCACCGGTTCCTCCTGACAACACTTCTTGTGCTTGCCTTCCTGTGCACTATCTATCTGTACTTTGCAGTAACCTTGGGGGCATCAGATGCTTGCACTGGATTGGCAGGGGCAGAGAGGATTGAGTGCCAGGCAAGATCAGTGCTGCAACATGGAAAGTTGAAATTCCGCTGACTTTGGAGACTAATTGATGGAAGACCAAATTATTGAGTTTTATATGCAGTCTGGTCACAGGTCTTATTCTTCATACCATGAATCTGTATATTTTTGGTGGTGGGTGGTTTGTATTCATGCTGATGTTATTGGACCACAAAATTTACTGTACTGGTAGAGGCAAATCTAATAGAGTAATAGTGATAGTGTTGAGTTTGTGGAAACTGTTATACTGGGGTAGGTCTATATTGTTCTTTTACCATGGTGTGCTAAAAACACCATGGCGCCTGTAATTCGTCCAGGAGATCTTGGTATTGTCTCCCGTGTGACATGTGACTCAGTTAATTTGGTACCGTGCAACCTGAGTACCCTTTGATCCCTAAGTAGCAAATAATTTTGTTAGTGTTGATCTTAATTAATTAATAATCAACTGTTCACTGAGAAGTTTGTTAATTTTAGCGAATTATTGATGTAAATGTGACAACCTGGAGCATGATTGTTTGCTGTTGCGGTATCGTTTCCAGCTTGTTCTTGTTTTGACCGGTAGATCAGAGTGGTTGTAAAATCCGTAGACATGTGGTTTCATCCTGTAACTTAATTCAACCAAGTAGTAAATGAGTTACATTCTTTCAGAGAATCAGCGGTGAACAGGATTAAAGTTCTATTTAAACAATAAGAGCTGTAACAAGATAACAATAATAATAACAGAAAAAAAAATACAGAGCTGGAGGAGCTGCTACATTACTAATCATACAAACTAATGCTGAAGGTTGTTTGTGTGCCCCTATCGGATTTGTGTGCCCTTATCAGATTTGATCGACACTCAAAGGTTTAAAAAAAAACAGTGCTCCGAACCATAACCAAAGTCCAAATGCCAGCCCAGCTAATATGGAGTAATACCAGCTTAGAGCTTCAAGCTCTTGGTGGTTTCTACTGAACTTCGTTGCAGAATTTGAACCATTTGAACATACTATGTTCAGTGGGAACCCACAGAGCCCAAAGTTGTTGCTATAAATCGAGGGATCGGCGAGTGTTTGGAGTTGATAACCAGCTGGTATCTCACCTGAACATGCAAGTTTGGTAAATAATCTCTGCCATCAATGTAGTTTGAAGAAACTAACCTCATAGGATGGTCACGTTGATATGAATTTGTCACTAGATGAGCATTTACTTCGATTCTGAAGCGTTCCTTCTAGTGTGGCTTCGCTTCCAGTCACTTTATCAAAAAGTGATCTGCCATGGTTCTATCTTATGCATGCTAACTACAGCATTGTGTACCATTTTTGCGTAGTGTTGCTGCATGTTGGGACTCGTGAGCTAATATCGCAGCAGATTTTGTGTTCTTCCAGAATGGAATGCTGGATCCATGGTTCGAGATCAAGGGCCTAGTGGACGCAAACCAGGTATTGGCCTACTTCGCTATATCAAAGCTTGGAGAGCCACCAGTCGATGGGATTACTGATACCAACCCAGAGGGCTTGACTGCTGCATTTGGCAGCTGGGCTCCTGCAGTGGCTGCCCGCCTGCAAAACGGCGGACTTACCTGCAAGGTGAGGTTATGAGCATTTGCTTCAGAAGTTCTGTATTCCGTTCATCCATAAATTTCCCATGTTGGCCATTTTCATATTTTATATTACTTTTCGTTGTAAGGTGCAAACAAGATAGATATCTACTCAAAAGAATTGTTTGGGCAGCCCTTGCAAAAGTTTGGACTTGTGTCAGACAAAACTTAGAATAAATCATGATCCCTTCCCTAGGCATTATTTATTTTCATCCTGTCAAATACTATAAGATGCGAGTAGTAGGGAGAAGAATATGCTCATTCTAAAAAATGGGTACCAAAGATAAAGTTTTGAAAAATCATGGTATGTGCCTATACATTTGCAGGAACCTCCTTATTTCTGCACACTGTATTACATAGTAGGTTCAAGTAACCTATAAAAGACTATTAGTTTGAGGCGAGTCACGGCGCAGTTACTGTTCATCGGCCGCGCCCTGGCCCAGATTCCAGTAGGTAAACAGTAACGGATCAGATGAACAGTATCCGACCCGATAAGGAACAGTGCCACCTTTTTTTTTTAGTCCTCACAGCGTCCACTGTTGCCTGCGCGAAGCGCGGGATTACCTGCTAGTACATTACTTAAATCATGAAAGTTGTGCATTTACTTGTCATAACAAAGGGGTACGACAGCCTCTAGGACTGTCGTCTGGTTCCTCTTGTTGGGCCTCTGCGCCCCTGTTGGGCCTAGCACGCATATGGCTAGGATAGATAAATTGATCTTGATTATACAAGTATCACCATTGATTGGTTCTACTTCTGTAAACCTTAAGGTCATCCTTGCCTATATATGTGTAACATCATATCCTCCATAATCAATCTATTATTCCTTGTGCCTAATTCAACATCAACATCAACATAGCCTTTCAGTCCCAAGCAAGTTGGGGTAGACTAGAGTTAAAACCCACCAAAAGCCCAAGTCACGGTTCAGGCACTTCAATAACTGCTTTTCAAGCACTCCTATTCAAACATAGATCTCTAGGTATATCCCAAGCTTTCAAATATCTTTTTATTGCCTCCCCCATGTCAATTACGGTCTTCTTCTACCTCTCCTCATACTATTAGCTTGGCTTAGGACTCCATAATGCACTGGTGCCTTTGGAGGTCTCCTTTGGACATGGCTAAACCACCTCAATCGATGTTGGACAAGCTTTTCTTCAATTGGTGCTACCCTTTGGCGATCACGTATATGATCGTTCTGAACTCGGTCCATTTTTGTGTGACCATAAATCCATCGCAATATACACATTTCTGCAACACTCAGTCGTTGAACATGTTGAATCCTTGTAGGCCAACATTATGCTCCATACAACATAGCCGGTCTAATCGCTGTTCTATAAAATTTGCCTTTTAACTTTTGTGGTACCCGCTTGTCACAGAGAATGCCAGAAGCTTGTCGCCACTTGATCTGCCCTGCTTTGATTCTATGGCTAACGTCCGCATCAATATCTTCATCCCTCTGTAGCATCGATCCCAAATACCGAAAGGTATCCTTCTTAGGCACTACTTGACCTTCCAAAGTCACATCTCCCTCCTCTTGTTCAGCTTCGCCAAAGTCGTATCTCATGTATTCGGTTTTAGTTTTGCTCAATCTAAAACCTTTAGACTCAAGGATCTGCCGCCATAACTCTAGTTTCCTATTTACTCCCGCCTAGTTTTCGTCTACTAGCACTACATCATCAGCGAACAATATACATCAAGGGATATCCCCTTGTATGTTCCTGATAATCTCATCTATTACTAAGGCAAAGAGATATAGGCTTAAGGCTGACCTTTGATGAAATCCAATTTTAATCGGGAAGTAATCTGTGTTGCCATCGTTTGTTCGAACATTAGTCACAACATTGTTGTACATGTCCTTGATGAGGGTCATGTACTTTGATGGTACTTTATGTTTGTCTAAAACCCACCACATAACATTTTTTGGTATCTTGTCATAAGCCTTTTCCAAGTCAATGAAAACAATGTGGAGGTCCTTCCTGTCGCAGAACAGCTTGTCTGGGGAGCTACCAGCAGACGCCCTGGCAAAGGCGACGCCAAGGATGAGGTGCCTCGATCTGTCATCCAATGGATTGCATGGGTTGATACCGCTGTCACTCTGCAGTATGCGTGAGCTGTGCACGTTCGACGTGTCAAGAAACAAGCTTACGGGGAAAATTCTCCCAGATTTGTTCAGGAACTGGCAAGAGATGACAGAATTCCATGTACAGAACAATTCCCTGGTGGGTGGCATCCCTCCATAGATCAGCAATGCAACCAAGTTACAGTCTTTGCTTCTGTACTGCAACAGCCTATCTGGTCAAATCCCAGTGGAGATCGGAAAACTGGAAAAGTTGCAAATTCTGGTGTTGGCATTGAACTCCCTGAGTGGACCAATTCCGCATTCGGTTGGGAACCTGTCAAGGCTTGTTCTGTTGGGTCTGTTCTACAACAACCTGACAGGGAGAGTACCGCAAGAAATCTCCAATTTGGCAGCATTGAAATCCCTTGACCTTGACACCAATCAGCTGGAGGGTGAGATGTCGGCAGCTATCTCGTCGCTCCCAAATCTACAATTCCTGGACCTTAGCAACAACAGGTTGTCTGGAATGGTACCATACCTCAGCATCAGGAAATTGCATGCCATCTCCTTGGAAAATAATAGATTTGAAGGGGGATTTCCTCTGGCATTCTGTCAGCAGGCTTTTTTGGAAATCCTTGATCTATCAAACAACCTACTATACGGAGAACTCCCTCCTTGCTTGTGGAGCTTGCAGAATCTACAGTTCATCGATATGTCAAGCAATGCCTTCTCTGGGAATGTCCGAATATTGGCAAACTTGGTGATTTTGGAGTCCCTTGACTTATCTTGGAATGAACTCTATGGCTCTATTCCTTAAAGCATTTCAAAATTGATGTCTCTTAATTCACTGAACCTTTCCAACAACCATCTGTCAGGTGAGATACCAACAGGCTCTCTAACTCCAAACACTTGTGGACCCATCAATTTATAGTAACAACTTTGGGCTGTGTGGTTTCCCACTGAACGTAGCATGTTCAAATGGTTCAAGCCCTACGCCAGAACTAAGCAGCCAGAGCCAAGACCAAGAGCTTGAAGCGTTAAGCTGGTATTACTCCGTATTAGCTGGGCTGACATTTGGATTTTGGTTATGGTCTGGACCACTGCTTCTCCTCTATCCTTGGAGGGCTGCCGTCTTCCACTGTATCGATCATATACAAGATAACGCTGTAGAAAAGTTTTTCAGAGCCTAATATCTTTATGTTACACGATGAGAGATAGATAGGGCTTGGTTGGATTGGAGATACTTTGCTGGAAACATTTGGTCCCAATCTAAAATTGCATAAGAGCAGGATTTTTTCTGGTGAAACACCCCCCAGTGTATATATATTTTTTCCTGCATTGTTCTTTCGTAACAACTCTTATGGTTGTGGGTGCAGACATAACCCTGATTGCATTTATGTGGCAAGGTTACGAACCTACAAAACATATAATAACACGATAAAGCAAACGGTTTACTGGTTCAAGTCCTCAGTAAATGCTGCGTCCAACTGACATATCATCATTGGCGATTTCCTCAAATTACAAACTGGAGAAGTATAACAATTAAAAAAAACGTTCTTATTGTCACCTACCTCAATGAAACTAACTACAGCTAGACATTGTACATTGCTCATTATGGAGGGAAGCACCAATCCTCCTTCGTTCGATCTTTTTTCCCATGACATGGCCAGGCCATTATACCTTATTGGGCAGAACAGACTTTACAAAAGGTGCATGACCGAATGGAGCAACACTAGCAGGCACGATGTAGCCTATCTTACATTGTTCAGTTGTACTGTACAAGCCACAAAAGTTTTTTTTAAATGGTCCCGGGGAGAGCGTCCCCCGGAATTGTATCGATATAGCGTGGTATAACCCTGTTCGGCTGATGGTTTCTGCGGCTGATAAGCCGGCTAATGCTGTTTTGTTGTTAGAGAAAAACACCGTATCATAGCTGATAAGCAGTTCAAGCGAACAGAGCATAGCGGATAACCATGACACTTACCTAGCTAAACTAGGCTTTACATGTCACCAGCCCCAACACAAGGGCGAAGATTTCGAGCCTGTTTGGCATGGCTTTAGCTATGGCTTCACCAATGTTCATGTTCATGTCCTTTAGTGGTGTGATACTGTAGTAGGAGTCCGTGAAGAAAAAAACTGCTTTGGAATAATAGAACTGCATGTCAGCCTTCACCGGCTTCATTTTGGGTTGATGGGATTGGGGGTGGAGCCAGAGCCGCTACAGTACCAAACGGGCCCTGTCAAGGTTGTTGTGTGAACACCGGACTAAGGCTCCCACGTGCCTTGACTCTGCCATTAGGATTTGCCATTGAATTTATTGAGGCTTGACTTGATTTATCCACTCAAAGAGCAGATCCATTTATTGCGCGTGTGGACAAGAACATGAGAACCTGCAGCATCTAGCCATGGTGCTCCAAACAAGAAATCGAAGTTTCCTGCAAGCCTTCTTACTTCTGCTGCTCTGCACATCCACATCCCATGGTACCGAGCAAGAAGCAGGCTCACTTCTCCGGTGGAAATCTACGTTGTTGCTGGCCAACGGCGGGGACGAGCCATCATCCCCTCTGCTCTCATGGCTGGCTACCAAGCGGACGTGCTCCTGGCGCAGCATTATGTGTGACGCTACAGGCCGTGTCGCCGAGCTGAGCCTTCCCAGCGCTGGCCTCCATGGCACGCTCAGTGCCTTAGGCTTGGCTGCATTCTCGGCGCTCACTAAGCTTGACCTCCGCAACAACATCTGTGGCAGCATCCCAGCAAACATCTCCAGCCTGACGTACCTTGACCTGTCGCAGAACAGCTTGTCCGGGGAGCTACCGGACACCCTACCGTCGACGAGCCAAAGGATGAGGTACCTCAACCTGTCCGCCAATGGATTGTACGCTTCGATACCACGGTCACTCTCCAACATGTGTCATGTGTGACATGCGGGTGTTCGATGTGGCAAGAAACAAGCTCACTGGGGTCATTCCTCCGGATCTGTTCATGAATTGGCCAGAGATCACATCGTTCTACGCACAGAACAATTCCCTCGCTGGAAGCATCCCTCCAGAGATCAGCAACGTATCCAAACTACAGACCTTGTTTCTCCACCGCAACAACTTATATGGTAAAATCACAGTGGAGATTGGAAGAGTAGCAAGTTTGTGGCGTTTCATGTTGTCATGTAATTCCTTCACTGGACCGATTCCGCATTCAGTTGGAAATCTAACAAGTCTTGTGCTTCTGGGAATCTTCTGCAACAACCTCATTGGGAAAATACCGCTAGAAATCGCCAATTTGACGGCACTGGAGTCCCTTGATCTTGACACCAATCAGCTAGAGGGTGAGGTGCCCCAAGCCCTCTCAGCCCTCCAGAGCCTTGAATTCCTCGACATTAGCAACAATAAGTTCTCTGATGTAATACCATACCTCAACACCAGGAAGTTGCTTGCCATCAGCTTAGCAAACAATAGCTTCACTGGAGTATTTCCTATAGTGCTTTGTCAACAGTCGTGTCTTCAAATCTTGGACCTATCAAACAACAAGTTATATGGCAAACTCCCCCGCTGCTTGCGGAACATGCAGGATCTACTGTTCATTGATTTGTCAAGCAATGCCTTCTCTGGGAATGTCCAAATGTCAAAGAACTTCAATTTATCACTAGAATCAGTGCACCTAGCGAATAACGGTCTCAATGGAGGATTCGCACATGTCCTTAAGCGATGCAGAAGGCTGCTGATTCTGGATCTTGGTGAGAACAAGTTTTCTGATACAATTCCTTCATGGATAGGATTTAGCAATCCCTTGCTAAGGGTGCTCATATTACGGTCAAACATGCTCCATGGGAGTATTCCTTGGCAGCTATCACAGCTCTCTTTCCTCCAGCTGCTTGATCTATCAGGCAACAGTTTTATAGGTTCCATCCCTAGAAATCTCTCCAATCTAACATCCATGATGCAACCAAAATTGGAATTCAACATACCTCTGCAAATCAGCTACCAAATTCTACATCATCTTGTCATATATATACACTGAGCGGATCAACATAAACTGGAAGAGGCAATATCATACTTTTGAAGGAGCCATTGCACTTATGACAGGTATTGATTTGTCAAGTAACTATCTCTCTGGTGACATTCCTCCTGAGTTTACAAAGTTTGTGGGTCTCAGGTTCCTAAACCTGTCAAGAAATCATCTATCTGGCGGTATTCCTAAAGACATTGGTAACTTGGTGATTTTGGAGACCCTTGACCTATCTTTGAATGAACTCTATGGCTCTATTCCTTCAGGCATCTCAGAATTGATGTCCCTTAATTTGCTAAACCTTTCCAACAACCATCTGTCAGGTGAGATACCAACAGGTTCTCAACTCCAAACACTTGTGGACAGCGACGAAGCCAGGAATCGACGAAGCCAGGGCTGGCTTCCTCTTCTTCTTCCTCCACTTCCTCCAGCCCCTCCTTGCCTTCTTCTTCCTCCTCATGGCGGTAGCCCGGGCTAAGCCCGGGCTCCATGTAAATCATGGCCGTAGGGGGGGCTGGAGCACGGGTAGCCCCCCCGCTGGCTTCGTCGCTGCTTGTGGACCCGTCAATTTACAGCAACAACTTTGGGCTCTGTGGTTTCCCACTGGACATAGCATGTTCAGATGGTTCAAACTCTACAGCAGCACTGTTTGGACACAGCCATGCCCAAGAGATTGAAGCCCTAATCTGGTATTACTCTGTATTAGCTGGGCTGACATTTGGATTCTCGTTATGGTCCGGGCCACTGCTTCTCTTCAAGTCTTGGAGGGTTGCCATGTTCAGCTGTGTTGACCATATACAAGATAGGGCTGCAAAATGGATATTCGCCATCTAATCTCCATTTGATGTGGTACAGAATCATAAAATAGTTAAAGTCCCGTCTGGAGTGGGAGTGTTAATTTGGCTGGAATGTTTCAGACACTAGGAGAGAACAGAACTTTAATCCTCAGTTAAAATGGGCTTTAGTCTCGGAATTTTTTGCGCTCAGGACTAGAGATACCTTTAGTCCCGGTTAGTGGCTCCAACCGGGACTAAAGGTCCCTGTCCAACGACTACTGCGCCAGACAGAGGTGGCAGGGACCTTTAGTCCCGGTTGAAGCCATCAACCGAGACTAAAGGTAGACTTTTACTCCCGGTTGGTGGCTCCAACCGGGAGTAAAAGTCTACTCGCGGGCCGTGGCTGCGCCCGGGGTTGGAAAGTTACCTTTAGTCCCGGTTGGAACCACCAACCGGGACTAAAGGTCCCCCTTTATATCCCGGCCGTCTCCTTCTTCCTCCCCAAGCCCGAGTTCAGCACATTTTGAAGCTCACTGCACTAGTGTTCTTGCTTCCTCCCTCCATTATTCCTCCATCCATTATTAGATTCCTCCATCGATTTCTTCGATTCCTCCGTCGATTCTTCAGTTGTAAAGGTTACCAATCTCATACTCTCATTTTTCACCATTGTCTTATTTCATTTTGTTCACTATATATATGGTTCTTTATTGTGGTTTTTTCATTTGTAAGCAATTTGAGCTCAAAATCACTTCAAGCTTGCATATTTACATGAAAGAAGGTTAAAGTAGCTAGTTGAACTTGCGGACCGTGTTCATCTCGGCGAGCATGTTCTCTGCCGAGTGGTAACGGACGTCAAGGAGGAGCTTTGATTCTACGAGGGAGAGCGGCAACGATCGTGGAAGACCGTGTTCCCTTCCTCGTAGAATCAGAGCTCTTCCGTGGCCAAGTACGGTGCCGTCCGGTGGAGAAATGCTCGCCGAGATGATCACGTAAGCAAGGTCAACTAGTATAGATGGTTATCTATTCACATGTCCCGATATCGTCGCAGTAGTCTGTCAATCACCGTACCCAAACGTAGTATATATATAAATATAAACGATAATCGATTGTTATGTGTGTACACTCCTATTTTTCTGTTAATTTACGGAAATATCATGTGGATTACTTACCTGCCGCAGTAAAAGACGAGAACACAATGACCATGGCCACGGCAAGCAGAGTAGTGTTAAACGCTCTGGAAACATTTAAACTTCAAGCTTGCATATTTACATGAAGGAAGGTTAAAGTAGCTATTAAAAATTAGTATTCACCGTTCATTTGTAGCATGCATAGCACACTTCATTGTTTAGAGATATAGAGGATTTTAGAGTTTTTTAATTTTATTTGTTTATAAAATAAGAAATTTATAGTGTATTAAAAATGAGTATAGGGACTGGTGCCTCCGACTGGTATGACAGATGCAATGCAAGGCCGTGCAATAGGAAGCAAATCCGTTCTCTTTTGATGATACGCCCGAACAGCCGGGCCTGACAGATTTGGTGGTTGAACGGGTCTGTCGGCCGTCGCCGTGCGACTGTACGACAAAGAACGACATCGATCGACCATAGTATTTTATTGTCCGGAGTCCGGTCCGGGGTGCAATGCAACGCAATGACAATTGACAATGCGTTGCTAGGTCAAAATATGGTCATTTCTATGGACTCCGCGACTAAACATTTTATTTTAACTTTTTATGAAATAAAAAACTTAGAAAATAGTTAGAAAATTCGTACTAGTTGAACTTGCGGACCGTGTTCAGCTCGGCGAGCATGATCTCTGCCGAGCGGTAACGGACATCAAGGAAGAGCTTTGATTCTACGAGGGAGAGCGACAACGGTCGTGGAAGACCGTTTTCCCTTCCTGCCGCAGTAAAAGACGAGAACACAATGATCATTAAAAATATCATTGTTTAGAGATATAGATAATTTTATAGTTTCTTAATTTTATTTGTTTATAAAATTAGAAACTTATAGTGTATTAAAAATGAGTATAGAGAGTAGATGGAACTGTTTCTGGGTCCTCGGCCTCTCATGGGTTTCCAAAGCGACTTAGGCCGGGCCTCCCTCTCATTCCATGCAGCAAGTGTCGTGATGAGACGAAGATTGTGATGGAGTACCGAGTGAAGAAGGAAGGTCCCAACAAGGATCGTATCTTCTACAAGTGTTCGGATCGCAATGTGAGTTATTTTATCATATTTAATGATTATGGTTAGTTTATACCTATTTTCATGATGGTTGTGATTAAAGTTCTAATTTTTTGTTTTAATTTCAGTGGGATGGCAGTGGATGATGTTCAGGCTTCTTCTAGGAAGAAGAGTATGTTGAACTCGTGTAAAAATATCTTGCACAACAGGCAGATACGGCGGCTAATGAGGCAGTGATCCAGCCGAAGAAGCCCAAAGATGTTGCACAATCGGGGGATCTGTCTGTTTTAGCTGACATTGGTCGTGAAATCCTAGTGCTACTGAAATGTATTTTAGCTTTAGTTCTTTTAGTGGTAGTTGGGATTGTCTACATTGTAGCGATACTTTCATAAATTTATACCTTTTGTGGTGGCACGCATGTTGTATAAATAATTAATTATGATCTAGATTTTAATATGGTATTTATGTCATGTAATGCAGATGAGCCAGCATTGGATGTACAATGCTGATCGCCGCTCCCAAGAGTTCATTGACGGCGTGCATTCTTTGTTACGTGCGGCCGAGGCAAACAAATGCGACGGTTTCATGTGCTGCCCATGTGCCATATGTAAGAATACGGTGGAATATCCTTGCTCAAGGACTCTTCATTCACACTTGTTCAAGTCGGGTTTCATGCCAAACTATATTTGTTGGACGAAGCACGGAGAAACCGACGTTGTAATGGAAGAAGGTGAAGAAGAACAATGGGACGACAATGATATTATTCCTGATGATGCGTGCTTCAATGATACTGCAATGGGAGAAACTGAAGAAGAGGTAGCCGTAGAAGATGAGCCTGCTGATGATCTTTGTCAGGTCATTCGTGACGCATAAAGAGAATGTGAAAGTGAAAAGGAGAAGATCAAGTTCGAGCGGATGCTAAAAGATCACAAGAAATTATTGTACCCAACTTGTGATGCAGGGCAGAAAAAGTTGGGAACTACACTAGAATTGCTGCAATGGAAGGCAAAAAATTGTGTATCTGACAAGGGATTTGGAGAGTTACTAAAAATCCAAAAGAAGGTGCTTCCGAAGGACAATGAATTGCCCGCCACTACCTACGAAGCAAAACAAGTTGTCTGTCCTATGGGGCTAGAAATCGAGAAGATACATACATGTCCTAATGACTGCATCCTATACCGTGGCAAAGAGTACAAAAAATTGGATGCATGCCCGGTATGCCATGCATCGCGGTATAAGATTAGGCGAGATGACCCTGGTGATGTTGAGGGCGAACGTCCGCGGAAGAAAATCCCTGCCAAGGTTATGTGGTATGCTCCTATAATACCACGCTTGAAACGTCTGTTCAAAAACAAAGAACATGCAAAATTATTGCGATGGCACAAAGAAGACCGTAAGGTAGACAATATGTTGAGACACCCTGCTGATGGGTCCCAGTGGAGAGCAATCGACAGAGAATTCCTGGAGTTTGCAAATGACGCAAGAAACTTAAGGTTTGCTTTAAGTACAGATGGTATCAATCCTTTTGGAGAGCAGAACAGTAGTCATAGCACTTGGCCTGTTACTCTAAGTATCTACAACCTTCCTCCTTGGTTATGCATGAAGCGGAAGTTCATTATGATGCATATGCTCATCCAAGGCCCGAAGCAACCTGGCAATGACAACGATGTGTATCTGAGACCACTTATTGACGAACTTCTCATTTTGTAGAATAAAGAAGGTGTACGTGTGTGGGATGAGTACAAACAGGAACACTTTGATCTGTGAGCATTGTTGTTCGTAACAATCAATGATTGGCCTGCTCTAAGTAATCTTTCAGGACAGTCAAACAAGGGATATAATGCATGCACACACTGCTTCGGTGATATTAGAGGTGTATTCTTGAAAAAATGACAACAGTAGACCTTAGTAATATTGGGTACAAAGACGAACCATTCGTCCTTGCCAAGGATGTGAATCAGGTGTTCTATGTCAATGATATGTCTACCAAACCAAAAAGAGGGAAAAACGATAATGACTCAACCAAAGAGCCAAAGCGCCACATAGTTATTTCAGGGAAAAGAGTCATCGTGGGAATTAAGAACAAGTCGGACATGCCAGAAGATTATGAAAAGGATGACCGAATTCCGCCCTTCAAAGTGAACAAAGACCCTAGCATCTTGGTAAATGATGAGGACACTCCATGGTTACGACACGATCATAACCAAGGGACATACGTAAAGAAGAAGTTCACTGCTGTGCCCACTTGATGATATAGTGATTTAATGTAGTGTGTGTTTGAGATATTATGTAATAATTGTGAATTCAGATGTTTATTATATCGTGTTTCAAATTAAATCAATGTTTGATTTGGTGGGATTTCTCTCTTGAAAAGTTAAATTAGGATATTGAGTGATGAAAAATTAAAATATTAACGTTAAAATGATGTGAAAACAAATTTCCTGTCCAAAACCAATAGTTTTAATAATTTTAATTAAACACTACATTTTTGCATTAACAAAATAATAAATATTAGTTACATTATGTTTTATAATTATAACAAAAAATAAAAAAGTTAGGTTATAGATTTTTCCTATGTGCAATAAAGAAAGAAAATCCATATTTTTAACAAAATATTTTTATGCCTTTTATTTAATTTACTATGTATTTAACAAGACTATTGCCTTTTATTAAAAAAATTGCTCAAAACAGGCGGAAAACGAAACTGCAGCCCACCTTTACTCCCGGGTGGGAAGCCCACCCGGGAGTAAAGTTGGGTTGCGCTTCGTATTCATAAAAACCTTTTACTCGGTCGTGTTACCAACCGGAGTAAAAGTATACTTTACTCCCGGTTGGTAACAAGCACCGGGAGTAAAGGTACCTTTACTTCCGGTTGG